GCTGATCACGTATTATAACATGGAGCCAAATGGTTGAAGAAGTTCAGGCTTGATACCAAAGATCAAAGTGGAAGGTGACAAATAGGTTCAAGCACAAACTAAYTACATATTACCCAGTCACATAATGTATGAGAGAAATATCAAAAGTTGCTGAAAAGGATTTCAYAAAGTAACATGCACAGAATTGTCTGTRCATGTTACTTGTGTGCTGGACACAGATTTGCAGTGGGTCTCATCCATCAAGAGATAACAGTGTCTGTCACAGATCATGCCTACTTTAAGAACAAAATGGAATGGGTATTTGATATGCTACACTACAATATCTTTAGTTTATATTCACAGTTCACCATATATCCTGTGTTCTTCTGCACTCTCTTAATGATTGTTTTGCCACTGTTGCCTGGTCTTCTCACATAGTTTTCTCATCAGCTGAAGAACTTCTCAACAGAAAGAACAGTGCAGAATGTGGGCAAACCAATTTTTATATCCTGTTTTGTCTGCTATGCAGTATTGTCTGGGTTCATTAAGCTGAGTTGTTCATTAGCTGTCATTAATTGTCATGTCAACACTCATATCATRTATCCTCTTCTTATATTTAAGACATTTCCAAGGCCAAAAGATTGTTACAATTTCTTGAAAACTGAAGTATTGTGGTTCTGACTAAGCGAGGTAAGCCATTTAACCTAAACATGGTTTCCTATTTTCTACATAGTGCAATGATAACTCACTAACTCAGGAGCAGCTTTGTAACATCAAAATACSTCTGTCTTCCTTAATGTTTAACTCTGAGTTTTTGGCTTTTAAACCTGTGATACATGGGGTTATGGCAGCAGAGCAGTAGCAGTACTTTGTGTAGCTGAACTAATAGTTAATTTGGATTTCATCAGGGCTGGGAGTAATTCATAATTGCCTATGAGACATTTAAAAAAACTCTGCTGTAGCTATTGGAATCATTTTTCACTCGACTTTGCACAGTGCTTCTAATTTAAATTCCTCTTTGGACTGTGCTTGAGACTGCAATGTAGATCCCACACCAGGTTCGCCCAGGAGACTTTCTGCAGTTTGAGACCCTTAGGGTGTGATCAGACAAGCCCTGGCTCTCCTCTTAGTGCTAGAATTTGCATAAGACTACCCTCAGGAGCTGTTTATGCAAACACAACCTCCTCTGCACTTCAGTGGCCTGGGTACAGATAGTTATAAAGTTTCAAAAGAGTTTCAGTAAATTCTTACACACTTTATAATCCAAATGTAGCTTCTCTATCAGCAKGCCTATATTGTAGGTTAACTGGTTTAAACATTTATTATTATTATTATTACTATTATTATTATTATTATTTCTTTTGGTTTTTAAGTTAGGGGAGCTGTAGTGATAAATATAGATAAAGTTGTATGATGGATAGACAAGACTTGTATTTCTAAGGAGAGGTGGGGTCTTGAATTTCTCCTCAAAATCATGTTATGTTGCACCCATTTGTATTGTTCTGCACAACCCCTTCCACCAGCCAAGGTTACCTGATAGATAATTTCTGTTTTGMCCATGCCCAGAACCCTGTGCACTGTGTTTTCTATGTATGGGCAATTGAGCTATCTTCTGCTCAAATAACTGTCTTATTGAGATGTTGAAAAGGAATTATTGGAAGGCTTATTTTGTTTTTCAATGAACCAGGAAGCTTAATATCCTGCTTTGCATTTCGCAAGGTACTTTGCATTGTATGTGCCAGATGGGCCCAGGTGCCTGCAGGGAGCTTTGATGAAGCTGACAAACTTGGTGATGCAGTAATAGACAAAGAAAGAATTAGGATCTCTTTTGGGACTGAAATCATACTGATGGCCAACTTAAATAGGAAATAGYGTGTTGAACTTCTCTATGCTTATTTACCTTCAAGGATTTTTTTTTTTCCAGAATTTTCTCTTTGTTTTCATTTTTTCAAACATTTAAGCATTTGTGTTGTATTTTTMAGAAAGCACTCTGAGTCATGTTCTTTGAATGCTGCTGTGTAAATCATGTATTTCAACTGATTAACAGTTTAAAGCTTTCTTGCTAAAATTAGTAACATCACAAAAAGACTGTCTGTAAGCTATGATAATGGCTTAGAAATAAAACGTTAAGTTGTTCCCTTGGAATCAAACTTTATGCAAACTATTCTGGTTTTGTTCAGGGTGGATTCTCAAATAGATTAGTTTGCCTTAGTCCCTAATTAATGAAAGTATGGTGCTTTGAGACCTATAGATGAAAAGTTATTGTAACAACTTGTCACTATTGCATTTATTCAAAATTAGAAAATCCAGCATTATWCAAAATTAGAAAATCCAGCATGTTACAATTAGGCTGGATGATTTCATTAACCATAATCTTGATGTGGAACATTACAAACAAGTGCTCCAATCTGAGAGCTTTCAGAGATACTACTATAGAGATGATTAAGGAAACAGTGTCTGTTCTGTAATGACATTTTTAAATGCATTTTTACTTGGTTATTTTGCAGGAATCAAAATGACAGTTCCATCTTCCAAAATTATGCAAAAAATCTTCTACAATCTGCTGTTTCTCTTGTTCTTTCCTCCTCCTTTCTATTGTAGCTGAAAATTTTGAAAGTGAAGTTAATGGCAAAGAAACTCTCCAAAGCTCTAACCTTGCTGAAACTGGAGACATTTAGAAAGAGGTTTTTTTGTTGTTTTTCTTTTGTTTTCTTTTTGTTTTTWTAAGAGGGGGGGCTTTTTTTAAGAGGGGGGTGAGATAACCACTAAAAGCTTTAGTGGAAAAAAAAATCACTTTGCAGTTGATAGCAAGTAAATAGAATGATTTGTTTTTTGCAGAGTAATCCCAATTTTCCRTCTGCAGACATACTTGGCGTGGCTTGATTCTTCCTTGGGTCTCATTTAAGCCAGACCTCTTTTTCTCTTCTGAAAGCTTTGGAAAATAGTGGGAGAAAATGCCCTTTTCTTGTTGTCTTTGTTGTGTTATATATGTTGTTGGGCTATATATCATGCTTTCTAGATCCTTAAAAACTCAAGTGTCTGAAGCTCTGAATCACATGAACAGTTTAGAAACACAAGGCACCCAACAAAAGGCATGCTGTCTCATGCGTATTTATGGAGCTTCTCACTCTGTGAACTCATCCCAAAGGACTTTGAAGAACAAATCAACACTCCAATATTGTGACAATAAACTTTGATACAGCTTATAAAACTGAGGATACTTATTACAAGTTCAAAGCCACTATCAGCCAAGTATGTCTTTTTGTTTCTGGCCAAAAGTAGAGTAGGAATGCACCATTCCTTTCTTCAAGGGTAGATTGAGGATGACAAAGTGAGGATGAAAACAGAGCTATTTTATTCCTAGGGTTGGGTCTTTCCAAAGGAAAATTAGTATATCTTTTCTGGTCTCTCAGTTATCTATCCTTCCTCATTCTTGTGAATTCAAATAGAATGTGACACACAAATATCCTAAAACTTTAATTAAAAAAAAGAAAAAAGTGCTACTATGTTGAAGGGGGAGGGGGTTTTGAGCTTCAAAGGAAAGATAGGTTTCAAGGTTTTTTCCCCCCATGCTAACAAGAAACTCCCTTTCTTGTTAGAGTCAACATTTTATTTATAAATTATGTTTATCTGATAGTTGAAGGATAGAAGAATGCAGCAAATTTTGACAGAAAATCATGAGCGTTGTTTCATGGATGTAGAAAGGAAGAATTGTTCTTGGTGCAAAGCAAAAGAAAGGATGTTGATAAGAAGCTTTTCCCTTTTCCCCTACATAGGTCAGATACCTGTAGACCTGCTGAAGATAGCTTGAGCACCCTAAAATACAATAGAACATCTACTAGGCTTTTTAAAGAATCAGGTAGTTAGCTGCATCTTTAAAGAGCTACTTAGTTAAATTTTATTTTGCTTAAATGTTTTTAGTGGTTTTGCTCTATGACAGTCTCTATTCAGTACTAAGAACTGAAAGACAGGAGTGCCATGGCAACAGTTCCCATTATCTATAATAATGACCAGAACCCAAGCCTTCAGATCATGGCATCATGCTAGCTTATCTTTAGCCTGTGGTTAAAGTTTTTCTCTCTTGCTATTCAACAAGCTAAACTCATCATTTAAGTAAGTGTTCTGCAGGAGATTTGGAGCACAGATTTTTATGTAAACTTAGGATACCACTATGTTCTGGCACACAGTTCTGGAGGGCATTCCAATAGAAGTATGCAGCCTTTTGTGCAATTTGAATTTGATAATAACTGTAGGCATTTCCATAAAAATAAGTCTACATTTCTTTTTCTTGAGAGAAAAAGAAATAGCATAGGTGTCCTTTCATCACTTTTTCTTTTGTAGATTTCCCCCTATTCTTGTATTGAGGATTTCTTCCCCCAAGTCATCTGTGACATCCTTACTAAAACTGTGAGTTAGAAATTTCGTGAGTGCAACTTGCTTCCGTTTTACTCCTCCACACTGACTAGGTTGTGTAGACTGCAAATAGCACAGCAAATGCTTAGCAGATAAGAGTGAGCACAATGCTGTGAACTTCAGGGAGCTGTACAGAATGACATCAATGCCATTAGTAAGTGCTGTTCACCCTGCTTTTACCTTGATGTAAAACTGCAAGACAGAATTTGTTTGAAAAAAGCTTTTCCGGTTGCTTTGAAAGATTATCAGTGTCACAGTGTCATTGTTTTTTGGTTTGTTTGTTTTCATGTGGGAATACAGTTTTCTAGAATATACCCACAAAAACAGAACCTGGACCCAAAAATCCATCTAGCCCTGTATGCAATCTTTAACAAAGATCAGAGGTGGATTCTTACGGAGATGCGTAAGTGAAGCACATTGTGCTACTTCTTTCAAAGACWCAGCTTCCAATACCTTGAGGCTGTACGACAGAATTGGTGGAGCCTAGATTATGTCCTTTTAATTGMTCTAAATGGATTTTATTTCCATGACCCTGTTCAACTGGTCATTGAGCCTGTACAAACTTTAACAGCTACTGCATATTGCAGCRAAGTGTTTCAGCAGATACAAGTCATCTCAAGAAATACTTGAACCTGGAATCTATGAGCTTTGATCAGTGCCTCTGTTGATAGAATGGTTGGTGATCATTCATTCATTCTTTTCATTTAATTTAGTTAGAAAAACTTTTTGATAATCTGTCTTTCCCTACTCTTTCCTGACAGTAATCATACAGAGTTGAGAACTTCAGCCTCAGAAAACACCTGAGAGCTCCTCACAATAATCTTCTTTTTTTGTCAGGTAATGTGTTCATCATAATTACGTCACTTTTGGGAAGCTAACCAGGGAAGGTGATCAGATATCCCTAACCCATAGTCACCTTCTTAAACTCTCACATCATCCACTCTATGCTTGTCAGATAATTAGCTCTGTCACAGGTGAAATGAAGATGACTTTGTAAAACAAGTCTGTCTTATTCACTGCTCTTATTTCAGATAGCTACTTATATGTGTCCTCAAGTTACTATAGGGAGTTTTTTGCTTTTGTATCCAAGCTAGTTTGTTCCTGATGTTTCAAAATTACAACAAATGCTGAGAGCCTGGCACCTTTTAGTTTATCACTGAAAGGAGTAAAAAGCACTGAATAAAATTTCAACCATGGATAAAATCATCAGTTCAACATTTGGAAGGAATATATATATTTTTTTAGACACTTTGTGGATTCTTTTTTCAGGTTTGCCCATACAAGGGATGAGGGGGAGGAGAGGTGACTCAGGGTGGAGTTACTGGATATTTAAGGCCAGAAAACCTTTGGTAATATGGCCAGTCTTCCTGAATCAAGCCAGCTCTGATCTGACTTTAAGCCAAATTTAACCACTGTGTCTTATGATCTGACATGAGCTGAATAATTTAGTAACTGTAGATATTGAAAGTTTGCATTTTCCAGTGTAGTTTTCCTCYGTTACTCTTCAGCTGCTTCTACCTTTCCTAATAAAATCTCACCAGCATTCACATTCCATTTTTGTCTGGATAGTTTACTTCTTCCTCCCATCCTATTTTCATGTCACATTCTGATATTCATAAGCTAAAATTGCGTTCTGTTTGGGTGTAGCAAGCAAACATCTCTGGCTGTTGTTGCTATGAGGTTCAGCAGGTCAAATTAAAAATAGATTGCAGAAAAAAAGCAGAATTGTTCAGGTTGGATCAGACCTTGAGAGGTAATCTAGTCCAACCTCCTGTCACAGCAGGTCAGCGCCCTCCTTGTTTCATGAGAGAATTTGTATTGCTGAAGCAGAGGTGGAGGAGTCTTTAGCCACAGTGCTTTGTGATCATGTGTTGTTTATACAGATTAAGTTATTAATTTTATTGGCATGGTATGAATTGGCCACTGCTGGCAATTTGGCTATCATCACCAATCCATGCTACCAGTTTTCTTCTGCCAACACCCTGATATTGTGGGAGCACCACAATATCAATTAGTATTTTTGCAGGGATGGTTTGCTTTCTTCCTATTGCCTCCTCTGCCTTCTCCTTTCCCTGTTCATCTTGCTTGTTTTGTGTCTAAAAAAAAAAAAAAAAAAAAAGAATTCTAGCAACCTCGGCACCCTGCTGTTCCAAACTGGGAAGTGAGATGTAACCTTATAATAAAAGCAGATCATCTTCAGATACAGAAAAGAATCTTCAGAGTATACTGTGCACATCGCCTGATTCAGCAGGATTGCTTCCATCTACCCAGCCTTCTGAGGGAAAAGTCATAAGGAAGAAGAAAAACTGAATTTAATTTAATGTATCTGTGCACCACCCATCTCAGACAAAGGCCTTAYTGCCTGAACCCTTAAGACAGGCTGATGCAGGGTTAAACATATCATAGAATCATAGAATCATGGAATACTTAAGGTTGGAAGGGACCTCAGAGGTCATCAAGTCGAACCCCCCTGCTCACGCAGGGTCACCTAGAGCACGTGGCACAGGGCTGCATCCAAGCAGGTTTTAAAGATCTCTAAAGAAGGAGACTCCACAACCTCTCTGGGCAGCCTGTGCCAGGGCTCTGTCACCCTCACTGTCAAAAAGTGTTTTCTCAAGTTCCTGTGGAACTTTTGGTGCCTCAGCTTGTGGCCGTTTCCTCTAGTTTTATCAGTGGCCACCACTGAAAAGAGGCCGCCCCCCTCCTCCTCACTGCCTCCCTTGAGGTATTTATACACGCTGATCAGGTCCCCCCTCAGCCTTCTCTTCTCCAGGCTGAACAGGCCCAGCTCCCTCAGCCTTTGCTCATAGGGCAGATGTTCCAGGCCCCTGATCATCCTGGTAGCCCTGCGCTGGACTCTCTCCAGCAGCTCCACAACTGGAGCTGTCATAGCAACTTATAACTAACTTTGTTTTTGTCTTGATTAATTTAGAGAACCTGTGCACTGTGAATACAGAGCAGCTCAAAATCAGTCTACAACTGTATTCTAAGAAGCTACCAGCATGAGCAGTATTGCAATTTGTCCTTACAGTTGTCTGCAAGGACTAGGAGGGACTGCAGGGTTACRAGGATGATCAGGGGCCTGGAAGATCTGCCCTATGAGGAAAGGCTGAGAGAGCTGGGCCTGTTCAGCCTGGAGAAAAGGCTGAGGGGGGACCTGATTAGTGTCTATATATAAATACCTCGAGAGAGGAGGAGGGGGCCGGCCTCTTTTCAGTGGTGGCCACTGAAAAAACTAGAGGAAACGGCCACAAACAGAAGCACCAAAAGTTCCGCAGGAACTTAAGGAAACATTTCTTAACAGTGAGGGTGACAGAGCCCTGGAACAGGCTGTCCAGAGAGGTTGTRGATTCTCCTTCTCTGGAGATGTTCAAAACTCGCATGGACACGGCCCTGTGCCTCGTGCTCTAGGTGACCCTGCGTGAGCAGGGCGGGTTGGACTAGATGACCTCTGGAGCCCCCTTCCAACTTTAGGGATTCTATGTTTCTATGATTCTGCAGGTACTGCAAGGCGCAGAGCTGATACGTGGCTAATATGTTGTGTGTCAAGAGAAAGATCTTACTAGCATTGCTTTAAAACCTGTTTTGGATTTGAGTGAGAGAAAGGAACTCTGGGGCTAGGAAGCAGCTTCTTTGTAAACTGTTTCCACAATTTTTGCTACAACTTCTTTGCAAAGCCATTTTCTCTCTCCAAACTCCTTTCAACATGGAATGGGGAACTGGAAGGTAGACGGATGTGTTATGCCTTTACACTCCTTAATTGGCTGAATCATCACTGTAGGGTCATCAGTATCATTCTTCCTGAGAGAAASAACAAGATGAAAGGCAAAGGAAGCTCTTGCTCTGCTACCTAAATAAAGTTTTTAAAGCATTGATATATATGCCTAGTACCAGAACACCATCTATTCCCTGCATCGGTGYGTTCCTTTTTTCTTCTTCTTTTTAAGTTGGAAAGACTCTGAGAAACTCTAGCAACTGAGCAAGTAATGTAACTTTGAAATTTTCTCAGATTTTGAGAAGGTTTGAACCTTGAGAATTTCTTCTGGCTTAAATTATTTGATTACTCAAAAAACAAACAAACRAAAACCCTCTTTATCTTGTCCAATAGTGGAAAATAGATATTTTCTCTCTTCTTTATAGTACTGCAACAAATTAAGGCTTAGACACAGTCTTAGACACCTACTGTTTGTCTGTTCAAGTAYTGCAGAGCACAAATGACTGCAGATGAAAAACTGGAATTCAGTCTAAGCCTTTTGAAGGCTGACACTGTTRCATTATATCTAAGGACAAGCAAGAGGGATGAGATTCTGGGGTAAGTATGTGKTTGATGGAAATATATGATAGCAGAGGAGTCTAGCTCCATAGGAGGTTCCCATACTGTGGAAAGGGTTATGTCAGCAAATGGGCATCTTGGATTGTAAATCTGATGTGTTGTATTCTCTGACCTGTTTTGTGAGCCTGTGTGAGTGTCAGGGGAAGAAGTAAACTTGTAATAACATCTCCTTTGAGCTTGTGGGAGCAGACTCATAAGCAGACTTTTTGAACACGTTTCTCTAAAATGTACTATTAGTTGTTCTGGCAGATGGAGAGTGGTTGGAGGGATGTTCCAGTGGATATAATTAGATGTAATGGGATATGTTGAAGAAAAGAGAAATATGGAGAGAATATTGGAGAAAGCTTTTTGTTTATTTGGTACATTATAGCACCCTAGAGATCTTAAAATCTGTCTGTGTTCATACTTGAAGAAGTGACAAAGCAGAGAGGCGAGGACTGAAGCAGAAAGACAGCAAGACTTTCTACCAAAGAGTATTATGCAAGTTACTCAGGTGAGTGTAAGATATATGTAATGAAACTGTCTTAGCTGACTCACTCTTTTATTGGTTACTAGGAAGAAGTGGGACTTTACAGGTGTTGAGAATCATGCTTAAAAGTGTTGGAATCCAGTCCTGCAAACACCCCCAGGATATCAACTGACTAACACTTCCCAGATTACCTCAGCCTGCCTCTACATTGGCATCTTATCTAAAATGAATAATGCTGWTTTGGAATCAACATCAAAAACAAAGGATCAGTGTTAAAAATTAAGATTGCTCTTCAGCGGATTGTAATTTGAAGCATCTGAGGAAGGAAGTGTTCATCAGGCTCTCCAGTGGCTGCATTTGCTACTAAATAGGCTATAAATCATTCGTAGTCTGGTGCTGAAGAAATGTCTTCTGCCTTCCTTCCAAATAAGCATTAWCACACCATATTCTGAATATATTTAGGTAGGTATATGTTAACTTTTTTTTTTTTCTAGGAAGAGTAATTTGTCTTATTTTTGTTTCCCATAGAGGGAGAAGTTTCTGTAAACAAAATGTGCCATGCCATGCCACGTTTGTAATATTTCCTTTCCTGAGATCCTGGTTCCAAACCTCTACATCACGCACATTCTTTTGTATCTTGTACATACAGAAAGGAATCATGCATCTTGAAAGATGTAGCTGCAAAAAGCTTAGTGGCTTACAGAGAGTAATATACTTCCAGCCATGCATTGTATAAGCAGAGCAGTATTTCTGGTACTTAATTTTTGTTTTCTCTGAGCTCTGTTTTATTTGTAAATACACAAGGAGAAAATAATTCATTTTCAAAAGAACACATGTCTGGGGCTGGTAGTAGAAGAAGGACAATAGGAGTGGAGAGAAGCAGAACTTAAATGCCAGTTTTATCTCATAAATTACTTGCCTGCAATTATCCATTGCTAGGACCTTTTGCTCTGATTTTAGAGGAGGCCACTGTGCAAGAACGGCAGTACTTTGCACCAATGTGCRTGGTTTTGTTTGATAAAGACAAATATAACCTGAGCCTTTGTATGTGCAGGATGTGTCTGGGAGCAGGGAGGATTCCAGCTCTACTGAAGAAAATCTGACCCATGGAGTAAATGTGCCATTTATGTTTCCAGTTCTTTACTTTCTTTTCCTGTAATCAATACTTTTTCTTCTGAAAGTTAATCCAAACTTCTGCTTGTGATCCCTCATGCTGACTGATGATGACACAGCCATGTAAAAAATTGCCAAAGGTCTTTAATTTGTGGTACATCATCTATCATCTGAAGCTTATATGTTYTAAAATCATTGCCCTTCTTTATTTAAGCATAATATGAAATCATAGCTTTTTTGAGATCTATGAAATATACCCACACCTTTTCCAATATCAAGAATGCAGTATGAGTCATTCGTTCACTTAATACAGCCAGCAACAGCTGTCTTCATACAGCCTTAAAACAGGCAAAGTAATGTTGCATGGTCCTAGAAGAAAGTAATGTGGTGCACCCTGCAGAAGTGTCTATAGAGTGATGGAACAGATGTCTTGGAGGSCTTTGTTCAGGAAACCAGAGAAGAAACAGATAAAAGAGAGGTGGTGTTCTAAACAAGTTGATTTTGTTGAGTCACCAGGGAACGGGCTCTGAAAAGAAAATACCTGTAAAAGGCTGTTGCCTGATGCTCTGCTTAAACCTGCTTTGTTCTGAAATTATTATTGTCTTGCTGACCTTTGTCTGGAACCACCCACCTTTCGTTTTAGTCAGTGCCACTAGGTATGAATGATGCTGTCGATGCAGTTATATTTCACAGAGATCTGGGAGGAAGCTGAAGGGAAGAAGCAGGACTGCCCTCTGCTCTTTTGTCTTTAGGGGAGTCTTGCCAACAGGCAGCTAGTGCTTGGGTATAGCCATTTTCAGGATCACAGTCTCCTCTAGCCAATAGGATGCCAAAAGTATTAGTTTCAGCCTCGCCGGAAAGCTGTTGTGTGTCTGAGGATTTCAGGGAAAACCTAAGAGAGGTGACAGAAGAGGAAGAGATCAAGTATATGTGTATAATAAATGAGGTATGGAAATATATGTGAGAGATGTACCAAGGGGCAAGTGTAAGGGGGCAGATGAACATGTGATTTCAGGAGACAAGAAGGTGATATTTTCATTGCTCCAAACTGAGGAGACGAGGAGATACACTGGGTCAAATTGATGTTGTTGGAATGTCAAGGAGGAAAGGAAAGCTGTGGCCTTTTCTGTCATAGTTCCAATCCCTTGTTCTTTCAGTCATATTCAGGATGTCCTCACTTGCTTGGTGGGTTGACTGTGAAGTTCATACAGCCTTAGTTGGCCAGAAGCTCTAGATCACTGAAGAAATGACATGTTGAATTATACCCATCACTGGAATGGTCATGGACACAGAAAGTCTTACCTCATGGCTTAGTAAAACATTGAGTTGTTTCCAAACAGCGCATTACTGGACCAGGATAAGTCAGAGATTTTTAATTATAGCTAAAGTTCCCTGCAATATCTATGTATTGTTTATAATCAAGACATTTTAAATTCTCCATTGGCACATTTGACTATCTTCATAAATACTAAAGTATGTATGAAAATTACCATTAATAGTATTAGTATCAATACTAAAGTTTTTATGAGTATCAAATGTAAGAAAAATCTCTTTTTGCAGGTTTTTTTTTGGAGAAGGTGTTGGAGTTCTGCAGTTTGTTTTCAAGTAGACAAAAGTAGATGTGTTGGATTTTTGTTGTTGTTCGGTTAGACTTCAGTAGCAATGGTGCCAGTATAGTTTTTGTGTTCTTTCAGAGGATTGTGTAGTTCTGAATGTTTTCAGTATTTCTTTCAGCATTTGAGTTTTTTGGTGGGAAGTGAACACAAAATGCTACCAAATCCCTCTATGAAGTAGAGTGGGGTTGAAGAAACCCTGGACAGTAGATCTGTTTTTTTGGTTTCTTTTTTTCTTGGGTTTTTGTTGTTGTTGTTTTCCTTTCTTTTCTTTCTAGACAAACTTTAGCTAAATTTCCTTAAAGATCTGAGGGTAAAGACACAAAGACAGTTTCAGGATTGTTTTTCAAATATTTAACAATTTCTATTACTGAGAATTCAGATAGTATACAGCTCTAATCTAGCTAAATTGTTTTATAGRTTTTTTTTGTGAGCTCATTCTTGGTGAACACGTTGGATTATTTCCTTCCTAGCAGAGGCTGAATGCAGCCTCTTATTCTCATTAAGTGTTCATTTGTGAATTTTAAGGCTAGTTGGACAATCCACATTTAAAAAAAATATACATTTTAGGTGAATTGTTATCCCAGTGTAGATGAATCTTAGCAACTAGCTTTTTTTTTCTCTCTGATGAAAAATCATGCTGCTCATATGCATCTTTTTCCTTGGCTGAATCCATACTTCTGATTATGCACCTCGGATCTACTAGCTGAGCTCTTCATATAGTTGCTTCCAAGACTCTTTTCAATTAAAGTCCATCAGGTTATCCATCGATTTATTTTTCTTTTTTTGGCCTAAGTATGATGAATTTGACCAAATAGGAGTTTATGCACAAAGACGTWTGGTACTTTTCTTGCTTATATATAATAGTACAATCAGGCTAGAACTGTACTACTAAAACTCCTGATGTAACAGGGTGAGAAGCATACACTATTATATCTATAGACTGGAAGACGTTATAAAAGCTGCATACATACCAGGTCAGATTCACTGGTTTTTCTTCTCCAYACCAGTTTCTGTGAACCTTTTATATAGAACTCTCCTCCTCTTTTCCCACTGTCAAATATTTCTGAATTTTTCTACTCCTCAAATATTCCTTTCCACCTCCATGAGCTACCCCTCCTGGCTTCCAGTGCTGTGGATGGAGCTGAAATTGTCTTTCTTATTTTTATTTGGTAACTTGAGTCTACAGGACATAGCACCTTATTTGAAAGAACACCTTGTTTGTGCAGCAGCATCCAGAGCAAAAATCTCTAAAAGTGACTGTTTGCTAATATTTCTGTTAATTGTTAAAATCTCTTCACCTTACTCTCTTCCAACCTCCTTGGTATTTGTTAAGAAAAAATCCTCTGAAGTCTGAAAATCATAAATAATCCCTTAATAGTTTTACTGATGGCTTCTTGTGTTAGTTTTAGCTGAAGGACAAATTAAAAAATAGAAAAGAGGGCTGTATGGCAGGTCAGGGTTGCAATGTCTTTAACTTTAGACCTCATTCACTTTACATTATTTTCCTTTCCCTAGTTAGATGTAGGAACTCTGAGTATTGCTCATGTGTGGTTTGTGGGTTTCATTTTATTCTGGAGCTAGAAATTCGTGAGGCCTCTCTCATCTCCTCTTTGCAGCATTCCTCCTTTAATGACTTGGTACTGGTGAATTACAAGCCTAGCAAAAAGCTGTGTGGATGTTAATACTCCTACTTCCCTGACTTGAGGAGAGAAGAGCAAGAGAGCAAAGTTTTGGAAAATTCTTGTTCTCCAATCTCCAGGCCAGCCCTGGCTCCCAAAGGAGCTGCTTCTAAGCTATGTCAATATATGATATATATATATATATGTGTGTGTGATATATATGTATATGTAATATGCTGTAGATTCATAGTCCCAAATGATCACTGTGCTCCTGCAGAATTATAGGATTTTTCTACACCGTATAATAGGTCCTAGCAGTAAAAGCAGGGCAGTTCCAGGTTAACATTCCCTGTACTTCCAAACATTTTCCAAAGATAGTAAAAACACAATGGGGCAATTTTTTTTATCAATACAAATGACAAAGCCACAGTATCATGAGTCTTGTGCCAGACAGTCCAGTGATACATTTCCTGATACAGTAAAACTCAGGCATATTAATTAGTCATGCAATTAAAGTCATCTTCTGAAGACTAAACAGCTCTGCCCTCTAMGAAACACTACTTTCATCTCATTAAGGCTTCTTGCTGCTTTACAAYTAATAAAATGTAAAAGCTTTGTCTCTCTTGCAGATGGGAAATAGCTCAGGAGGAAYGTACCCAGGCATGCTACC